ATGTATGACAGACGGCTGTTTCATTAGGCAGCCATTGTTATCCCCAACATGAAATTCCCATATGTGAAAGATTGCGTTAACAATAACACCAGTTCTCATCACACATGTTTCTACGGGGAGTTATTAAGCTCTTAATCTAATCATATGGCTTGCATAAAGACTGCTACTCGTCTGCTATTTTCGCATCTTAAGTGGTTGTTCAGAACAAATAATGCGTATTGCCAGTGAAGTATGCGCCGGAGATAAAAATCAGATAAGAAACAAATTTAGAAGAGCAAAACCATACATGTTCCATGCAGCCAAAAAATAGCAAATATTTTATGCTGCAAGCTGTTTTAGACTTGACGCAAAAGTTTGCTGTATGAAACGTGTAATATCAATGACGCTATGAAATTAGTGAACAAACTTCATGGTTTGTAAATGTATTGAACGTAATTATGAAAGAACATGTATTAGTCTATGGTAAGATTTCCAACTAAATGTATCCACGTTTTTCTTACGCCTACACATTTTGTACGAATCTAGTCCAAAACAGGTTGTTTACAGAGTTTTGAAAATACTGATATCATGAACAGAGTACATGAATTCATTCGCATGATTCTACGTACATGTTTAAGACTGTAGCTTTATCGAGTGTTGTTGTGTTGCAGTCCTACACGTGAAGTCATCACTTGGCTCGTTAACATACCAATTTTGACATTTAGAATCTTAGGAATTTCGCATTATTTTATTTTATAAATTGAACACAACGCAGTTTTCTTCAGTTGTTTGTGTACGAAGACATGAACTGAAGTAAGGTCAATCACAGGTGTGCTTGTTTACACCTTGCGCTTTTTATCATTTGGTTATTTTTATGTAACAAAATTTCAATTAAAATAGGTTAAATTATAGAGTATACTATGAATAGACAATATCAACATTTCTTAACAATAGTTTTAACTAAAGACTCCGGTAAGTTCTTAATAAGGTTTGATGTTTTCATATTGTTTATTTACCACGCACCCTCTTTCTAATGTGAATTATATTTCATCATCAGTGTTTTGCGTATACTTTGTGTAATATAATTTCTTACTTTGATTAGTTCGAAAACCGATTTCTAGTCAAAGGTAATTTATATAGTGTGATTATATTAATTGTGTTCTGTTACATTTAAATTTTGCATAATTTTGACTTCTTCACAGTACAGAAATGTGTTATATGGTTCAATTGTACGCAGAAAATTCAAAGAATTTATTATGGATTACTGTCATGCATACACTATTCTCAACTCGACATGTTTTAATTTTTATGTCATTTGGTATTACAACATGTTTAATTCCTTGGCAGATTGCTTCGTGTTCTTTCTGCTCGTGGGAATATATTACTCTCGTTCAACTCCGTTGCATTTTCACGCGATTACATAAAAAATTAGTATAAACCTATGTCATACAAACAGCCAATAAAACTTTTAAATTCTTGACATCGACGAGTAAACTGAAGTGACTAAATCAAATTGTTTTATATGGAGCACGCACACACCTAGAAGCATTTAGCTCCAGCTGTACTTTCTGGGAAACATGCCGGACCTTTACATAAAATCAAACAATTAACCATTACATAGCAGCCACAATTTCGTATTTAGCGACCGACTGTCTATCTAGTATAACAACATTCTGGAAGGATTGATATGCATGTCATAGTTAGCTTCTTCCACTAATTGAGTTTATTATACTTTAATTATTTTATCAAAGAGATGGAAACGACACAGATTGACAACGATATAAAAACTGCTCAGATTGACAGCGATATGGAAACCACATAAATTCGCCTTTTTACATTTATGTCATTACATAATCAGTCACTAGGGACAACAATATTGTCTGCATTCATTTTAAAGCAGTTTTTCATGCTGAGCAGCCATTTTGTAAAATCATTTTACAAGCTGGCAAAATTATCATAATCATATTGAAAATCCGTTAAATCATTTGAACATTTGTTTTTCTACCATGCAAGCCTAACGAAATTGCTCCCGATTTAGCGACGCATTTGTCATATATTTAAGCGTTCACAGATAATTCAAAGACATATGACTGGACTATTTTAGAACAAGCATCTGAAAAAGGGTACATTATAAATGTTTTCGAAAAGAGCTCAAACAAATGGATGGGTTGCACACAGAAAATCGTCGATGTCAAATTAATTTGATGTAGCTTTCACGTTTTGGTTTATTGGCCCGCTCTGGGTCTTATCGAATACCTTTCCTGGCAGGATTATCTCTTTTCGAATGATATTAAGTAATCCTCCTGTTTTTAGCTCCCCGAACGTTGGAATGGTTCCATCAATGAGCCACCGGAAAGACACGTGAGATGTTTAGAATTCCTGCATGATAAGTCCTACTGGCGGGGGCTGCAGGTTTCCCAGCCTCCTAATATCATAAACACTTCAAGCTCATTCTGGTTTACCTTAGTAGCAACGCAGTAAGGAGAACTGATAGTAAATTCTAGACTGTTCGTAAGATTTGAAACAGAAAATTAAACGGAGGAAAAGCCACACTCTAACAGAAGACTGGATCGTTTGGAAAGCTATCTGCTTATTCAAGGTAAGGTGAACGACAAGTTTTAGAACTGAATTGTAGATATTTGAATGTTTGAAGAAAGTGTTCTCCTTATGTTCGTCAATGAAAAGAGTAGTTTAAGCTCGGAAGTTTTCGATTTTTGTTAAAAGGAAGGCTCATTTAAATTTCATCGGAGACAGGCTAGTTCTGGTGGGAACGGGCTATGTACATGCAAGTTAAGGCGTGATAGGCAAGGAATACTTATTGCCAGCTGATCGCGAGGCGCTATGTTTAATCATGCGCTTAGCTAGATGAAGGGAATTAATTGTTGTCATCAGAGACAAATCTAAACATGTAGTAATAATTCATCTTAAGGATTGTGCAATAAACTTGTATAGGTTTTCATGACTCTGTACAAAGTAAGGCACCATGCTGGGATTGGAATACACCGCAGTTTTATGTGAAAGACTAAACTAGTTTTATTTCTTAACATTATGTAATCCCTCTCATCACTATTTTTATTCACCGTTGTATGTAAAAAGCGATAATGTGATGATTTCAACAACACTGTCATAATTTAAATTATCTACATCGATGCTATTGCGTCGAAAAGAAAGAAAAATAATTAAGTACTTCCAGTAGCGCGTGCTGATACGTAAAAAATTAATGAACGTTAGTGATAAACTTACACAACTATTGTCGTCATCAACGTTTAATTTGTTTGTTTTTTAGCATTATTTTTATTAGTAGTGTTTTTGTTGGTGTTGTCTTTAATCTTTGCATTTATGTTATTGTACCTCTCATTATTTATATTTGTCATTTTTATATTCGTGGTATTTTAAAGTTCCCCAATGGACATTGTTTACCTTAACTGTATTATCGTAATCTTGCATAAAATACTGGCATAGTCACTAATATTTAAAAACCTATACTCAAAAATCGTATTGACTGAAAAAGACAACAAAGGACATTCAAACATGCATACGCACGTGACACAGGTCGCCGACAAATATTATCACCAGACAAGGCGCTAGAAATTAAGTCACTGTCTTCACACTGAAAGCTTGTCGAACTTTCTGGCCTGATGATAGCTCAGTTCAAAACAATGTATTCAGTATTAATTACACCTACTTCATAATTTTTCACACGGTTGAAATTCTTCAAAATAACGTGTATGGCTAAAATTTTCAAGAATGTTGGTGTATCCGTTCTTCCTCGTAATAACGACGCGACTTGACAACACAAAGATTTTGGATAACATTTGTTTGGTAAACGCTGGATTATATGGCTGAGCATAAAAAACAGATATAAATAGCACATTAGCTGAATCTCAACTTGTTATGTTAACATTCTGTCTTGTTCACATAATTTACACAATTCTGCTAGGAGCTGGCGCCGTGGTGGATCTCAGTTTCGCAAAACCGCCATTTTAAACTGACGGTTATCTTGAACAGAATATAGTTTTTATCATCCAGCGTATGAATATATGACGCTTTTCGTGCAATACATATAAAGCTAGTCATTTTCTATGATTTCAAATCAAAAAAGCATTTAACTCAGCATAGTATAGTTCTTGTTTTACATCTATTTTTGCACACGGCCAGAAATGCTCATATCTTTGATTTGCCGTAAAGATCTGAGGAACGATGCTAGGGATTTCAATGCACGTAAAATCTTAAAGATGACACGATTGTCGGGTTTTCAGTGGATGTAGAATCTTGAAGGATGGCACAATGCTCGAAAATTGTATTTATAGCTCATATTAATATGGCAAGCTCAATACACCGATAAACAGTTTCATCACCGCCGCTATATTGCTCAGTAGAGCCTGGATGTACGAATAATTTTCCCAGGCTCTATATAAAATGCATGTAAACATGAAGATGTTAACTTGTGATCTTGCAGTAGTTCTAAATAAAAACAAACAACTGTCATGATATATGAAAGTAATTTTATTTCGTTTTTAAATACTAGCAAAAAATGCTTTATAGACATAAATTAGTAAAAAAAAAATATACCTGCTCAAATAAAATATTGTTTTGACTCAAAAAGACTGGCATAGTGTTTCTCACATGCCATTTTAGGACAGTGTTGTGCCATACTGTTTTGTCTCCATTCCATGCCATTCCCCCCCCACACACACACACACCTTTTTTTGGGTCAATGACCTTTTTATGTTTCATTATCACAAATGGTGTTTGTGTATTATTGAAGTGCAAATGTGATGTGATGTGATTATGATTTTTAACGTAGCTTTAACATTTTTTTCAGTAATGTCGCTACAATGTCTGCAGTGTGGTAGTTTATAGTGATGTCTAGCAATGAGGCATCATGCCGCAGACATGTAGCATGATGCCCCACCCAGTCACATTGTCCTGACACCAGGCCGACTAGTCCTAACACTAACCTCTTAATGCTGAGCGCCAAGCGAGGCAGCTGTTAGTTTCATTTTTGTAAGTCTTTGGTATGACTCGACCGGGGATCGAACCCACGACCTCCCGCATCAGAGGCGGACGCTCTGACCACTAGGCCTCAGGAGCGGTTAAAAAACGTGCATGTCATTGACATTAAATTGTGTACAAAGTAGTTTTATGCCAGTTTATATGTGACATTAGTGCAATAAATAATTAATTCAAAACGTTGCAAATAGGTAATTATGCATTTTTAGGCATTGTTTATATTTTACAATATGAATAGGCAGTCATCTTTCCTTGTAACATCCACGTATTAATCATAAAACGTTGGTTGGTTGGTTGGTTGAATTTTTACGGCGCACCAGTACAATGAGGCTTTTTAGCGCCATACAAAAAGTTATATCTTTCATTATTTAAAAGAGGTAAAAGGTTTCGTACCTACCAGCGATACGAAACCAAATAGTTAACGGTATATATATATCACATAAAACCGTTTAAGGTGATGTCATAAAAGCTATAACTTATGATAAATGCTTACTTCCTTCAGATGTGTGTTTCCTATTTCACTAGTTTTTAAATTAGGTTAGGCGGTTGTTTCTTTTTTAAACATAAACATTATATATAAATCAAATATTTCCAGCACTTCAAAGTACTGCATAAAACCGACTTAGATACACAAAACAATTTCGGCCAAAATTTTTTTTTTTAACATTAGGGAAAAAATCGAGGGTCGGCAGTGAAAAACATATTCCATCAAGTGGAAAAATATACTTTTTTTATATTTTTTTATTTGCCTAATCAAATATATGACTTGACATCCTACAGTTAAAGCTAAACAGCACACATTATTCCAGTTTTAAATTCATGAACAATAACTCTTGCCTAACTCTAAGTGTACGCATGCGCACTTTGAAACTGTTTATCGGTGTATTGGAACAATACTCATACCAAAAATTATATATTTCATGAACTGTATAAAATATCTTATAATTTGTAAAAGAGGTCATGTAACTTTAATACGATTTCTTATGAATATGTTTATGAATAAAATGATCGTACGTTTTATACAATATGTTATATATTTAATAGAATATAAATATTACAAGCTGATTTATAACTTTTTGTGATATGTTATAAATTATTTAAGTCATCGTTTAAACTTCATAAGGGATCATCAATAAAGTTGTATGATATAAAGTATATTAAATATACTGTACAGTACATAACACAACTTATGTAGGCTATATGATTTATTTTAAATTTATGATATATTTTGTACAGTATATGATATTTTGTACAGTATATGATATCTTATAAAGGTCATATGATATGTTATAAATGCATAAAATATCTTGGAAAGCATAAAATATGTCTTGTCAAGGTTATATGATATGAAATATTTTTGTGATATCTTTTAAAGTATATAAGACATCTTATAAAGATTATAGGATATCTTATAAATTTATGAGATATCTTGTGAAATATACAACTTGTACAAGTTATAAGATATCTTATCATTATATGAGATATATTGCAAAGTATATAAGACATCTTGTACAAATTATAGTATATCTGGTACAGTTAGCTGGTATCTTGTGGAGATAAGATACTTTGTTTATGAAACAGCTAATTTTCGGAATAAATAGTAGTTTGGTTTGTCATTCATTACTCTGATACGATTCATACATTACACTGATACGATTCATACATTACACTGATACGATTCATACATTACTCTGATACGATTCATACATTACACTGATACGATTCATACATTACTCTGATACGATTCATACATTACTCTAATACGATTCATACATTACTCTGATACGACCCCTAAAGCAATTTTGTTCTAAACGTAATATATCGCAATAAGAGGCAATGAACCCGTTCACAACTTCTATTGCAATGAAGAAAACCATAGCACAATATTTTTTTTTAAATTCAAAGTTGCAATTTAAAATCCTTTCTAAATTATTAATAGAAAGCCTAATAAGACAGGCTTGCGCGGTCAATACGGCGTCCTAGGAATGTATAACCCTCACCAAATTTGCACACGAGTCATTTTTATTTCAGACAGTTGCCAGTTATTTTATCAGATAAATATTGGTTCAAATGATGTGTAACCGAGTCGATACGATGCATCAAAACATGTTTCCCTGACAAAGTTACTTTCGTTCGACACTTAATGGACTGTAAACTTACCGGAATGAAAGCATATGCATGCCTACATTAGTATATATGCATTCACCCGAACTAATATCACCACCTAACATAGTCGAACCCCATTACTTTAACATATTGGCAAGCGTCCTACTGGTAACATGCTGGTTAATACAACCACATTAACGGCTCCTAGCAAAAGCTTTCTCCTAAACATTTAAGGAACATTTGTAGTGAAACTTATGAAATTTGGATGATAATTACGGGAGGATAATAAGATAGAAATGTCCCCGAAACAGAAAGATTGGTCTTCAAGGATTGCACCTTGGACCAAGGAAGATGAAGAACATTATTTCATCATATGGAGTAAATGAAGGAATAAGAAAAATTCATTGTTCATTTTCATCTATGATGCGAACAATAAAGATATGGACACCTCATAAAATTCCAATGAGAAACGTGTGTGGGCGTGAAATGAAATAACGATATATACACCCGATTAGGATCATGTACTACATTAATGATGCAGTATCCAAGTCAACGTTTTGTCTCCTTAACCCAATGTTGCAAGTTCTTAAGAAGACCATTTCAATATCGAACTTGGAAGCTAAAGCGTGTCAGTCGACAAATAAGTCAGCCAAATATTGTATATTTAATAATGTTTTGGCGATAACTTTTATTAGGTCCAATTTTGGAATACAAGATAACTTCAATAAGAGTCCATAATATTAACAGGTCTCCATTCTTCCAGTCCATTTTAGACTTCGTCTACTCAAAACTAATTTTAACATGCTCTCATACATGCCATTAAAGTATGTATGTATGTATGTATGTATGTATGTATGTATGTATGTATGTATGTATGTATGTATGTATGTATGTATGTATGTATGTATGTATGTATGTATGTATGTATGTATGTATGTATGTATGTATGTATGTATGTATGTATGTATGTATGTATGTATGTATGTATGTATGTATGTATGTATGTATGTATGTATGTATGTATATACGCGTGCGTGCATGGATCTATGCATGCATGTTATGCATTGTTACGACTCTCTGGTCTTTAATTAAGTAACAGAAACGAGCGAAAACCAACACGTTAAGTAATATTCAACAAGTAATTTATTCTTCTATAACACAAAGTGAACTTTTAAAAAGGACCGTACAGTCTTGTGAATTAAATGCCAATTAGTCCAAAGTTCTAATTAAGTTCCAGAAATGTTCTTAAACAGCTTCAACTTTGAATGTGTAGATATGCCTGCAGTTGCCTGTGATGTGGAAATGGCAGGGCCAGATCAGGTGAAGTGTTGGGGTTGGGTGTCAAAAATTTCAAAAGGACTCCAAAGCAAAGGTTTATGTTTCGTTTTTACTCAAAAGAGCGTACAAAATGTTCTTGTTTGAATCCACTATACTTGCAATGAAATTAATGTCTCTGTACAAGAATATTATTGAAAACTTTGTAATTCCAATGAATAATAATTTGAATAAATCCAAATCAAAAACTGTGCCAAATCATACCAATGTTATGTCTTCAAATATTATTGCAAGAATGAGTAATTTCTCAATTTAGAGCAATGATGAGGGTCAAAAGTCAATTTCTAGAAAATTCAAAGTCGTCAAATGCAAATCTGTTACGAAAATTATAATAACAAACATGACCAACATCTGTTAGACCAGGTTACCCTAAGGAGGAATTCTAGTGTCCTAAAATCAGATTAAGATAAATATATTTACATTACTAATGATAGGAATATTTAGTCCAGACTCTGAGAAAATTTTGCTTTGTATTATGTCGTTTGCCAATAAAATAATGACCCTCGTCAGGTAAACAATGAACTTGAGTTTGGACATAGTCAATTACAAATTACAATTATACATAGCACATAATGATACAAAAAAAAAATACAAATTAAATATGTATGTATGTACATATGTATGTATGTATGTATGTATGTATGTATGTATGTATGTATGTATGTATGTATGTATGTATGTATGTATGTATGTATGTATGTATGTATGTATGTATGTATGTATGTATGTATGTATGCATGCATGCATGCATGCATGCATGCATGCATGCATGCATGCATGCATGCATGCATGCATGCATGTATGTATGTATGTATGTATGTATGTATGTATGTATGTATGTATGTATGTGTGTGTGTGTTTGTGCGTGCGTGCGTGCGTATGTATGTGTATGTATGTATGTATGTATGTATGTATGTATGTATGTATGTATGTATGTATGTATGTATGTATGTATGTATGTATGTATGTATGTATGTATGTATGTATGTATGTATGTATGTATGTATGTATGTATGTATGTATGTATGTATGTATGTATGTATGTATGCATGTATCTATGCATATATGTATGTATGTATGTATGTATGTATGTATGTATGTATGTATGTATGTATGTATGTATGTATGTATGTATGTATGTATGTATGTATGTATGTATGTATGTATGTATGTATGTATGTATGTATGTATGTATGTATGTATGTATGCATGCATGTATCTATGCATATATGTATCTATGCATGTATGTATGTATGTATGTATGTATGTATGTATGTATGTATGTATGTATGTATGTATGTATGTATGTATGTATGTATGTATGTATGTATGTATGTATGTATGTATGTATGTATGTATGTATGTATGTATGTATGTATGTATGTATGTATGTATGTATGTATGTATGTGAATATGTGGGTATGTATCTATGTAGGCAGGTAGATAGGTAGGTAAATGTCTCTCAGAAATCTTCGGTTGACATTTCTTGGGTAATATGCCAATAAAATATACAATTGTATGAATCATATGAATCGCGTTGTTTCGTGTACTGGAGTTTTCTATTAAGCACCATGTTGAAGAATGATTTTACGTGACTCAGTTTGATTTCATTATGGTTATTGAGGATTCAGTAT